CGGGTCATAAGCGCGTTCAAAATAACCTGAGACGATGCTACATTCGTGATGACGCATGATATCTAGCGGATAAACAAAGAAGGATCTAGAAAGAAAAGAGAGCTGCATCACTTCAAATATGGTAAGATCAGGTAGAGCATCCATAATTTTGATTTCATGTGTCGCAGTTTTCCAGTTTCTTAGCGTCTAAGGTAGCGCAATATAATGTCAGTTCGGGCACAACGTGTGCTGTCCGACTGCAAACGGTTCGACTTTCTGCACGTCAGAAAAACTACTTAAATGCTTTATTGAACTCAGCGTGGGTAAATATGAAAAATGTTCTTCAAAAATCCTGAAATTTCAAAAATACACCCAAAGTACACACAATACCAAATATAAAAGCCTTTATTGTAGGTGTACATAAATTTATAAACAATTTGCTTATGTGAACAATGGATCATACACTGGGTACCCTGCTCTAATGTATAACATCTAACTTCAGTAATACCATCACTTGCATCTCACAAATGCGAACGGTTGCCTTCATTATTTGCAATGCGCGCCTTGCGCTTGTAAAGTCATTGCCCAAGTGCCTTTTGCAGATTTTCAGCTAGCTTATCCATGAATTCGAATGTTTCTAAGTAGTCGCTACGTTGCACTTTGTTCATGCCCTTGATACAAATAGCCAAATCCTTGGTCATGCTACCCGATTCGATGGTGTCAACGCACACCTTCTCCAGCGTTTCGGCGAACTTTTTCAAGCTCTCGTTTTTGTCCAATTCTGCGCGATGCAATAGACCACGTGTCCAGGCGAAAATCGATGCAATGGGATTGGTTGATGTCTCTTTGCCTTGCTGATACATACGGTAGTGACGTGTAACAGTACCATGTGCCGCCTCTGACTCGACTGTCTTGCCGTCCGGGCAGATCAGCACTGATGTCATCAAACCCAACGAGCCGAAACCTTGTGCAACCGAATCCGATTGTACATCACCATCATAGTTCTTACAGGCCCACACAAAGCCACCTTCGGATTTCATACAATAAGCGACCATATCGTCGATTAGACGATGCTCATACCAGATGTTTTGAGCCTCAAAATCTTTCTTGTACTCTTTGTCGTAGATTTCTTGAAATATGTCTTTGAAGCGACCATCGTACTTCTTCAGAATGGTGTTTTTGGTACTCAAGTAGAGCGGCAATTTTCTTGCGAGAGCATACTTCATGGAAGCGTGCGCAAAATCAACGATCGAATCGTCGGTATTAAACATGCCCATTGCGACGCCGGAGCCTTTGTATTGGTATACTTCATGAGAAATGGTTTCGTTGCCTTCGGCGGGCTTGAAAGTCAGTGTCAATGTGCCAGGGCCGGGCACCACAAAATCTGTAGCCTTATATTGATCACCGTGCGCATGACGACCGATGACAATGGGTTTCTCCCAACCCGAAACCAGGCGTGGAATATTCTTACAAACGATCGCTTCACGGAACACTGTGCCGCCGAGAATGTTACGAATAGTACCATTGGGTGATTTCCACATTTTCTTCAGTTTAAACTCTTCCACGCGCTTCTCATCAGGCGTGATAGTTGCGCACTTAATACCAACATTGTATTTCTTAATCGCTTCCGCGCAATCGACGGTGACTTTATCATCGGTTTTGTCGCGATTCTCCATGCCGAGATCGTATGTGTGCAATTCGATGTCGAGGAAAGGTAGGATTAACTTGTCCTTAATCGACGACCAAATGATGCGAGTCATTTCATCGCCGAGAATGTCAACAACGGGACCAGCACGAATTTTTGTAGCCATCTAAAAGGTAAAAGAGAGGTAGTTGGTTAGCAGTTGATAAGCCTCAAATTTCTGGTTTGAATTGTAATCTAAAAATATTTACTACATAAAAATTGAATCATGGTTTTGTAAATGCTAAACTTATGCCGAATTTCCACTAGGCATTGAAATGACAAAGTATGTACAAATGCCATTTAAAAAAATGCCATGTGAAAATGAGCTTAATGACTATTTGTTTAATGTAATGTCACGATAATTTTTTAATGCCCGACTTTGTCATTTGTCTTTTTTGACATTTAATGCCTAGTGGAAATCCAGCATTAGAATAATTACCTAATTCGAGTAGGTCGGTAATTAAAAAAAAATTAGTTGACATTAACTGTAAAAAGTTCTTCAAATTTACTGTACAAATTACCTCTGAATTGATATCCCCCTGCCTTGAATATATCGATAAATTGGTCAGCAAGCGGTAGCATTATTAAAAATTAGTGAATTACATTATGGTTCGGAATGGAATTTCATTCATAGGTGTTATTATTAAAAGTTTAAGTTATTTCATTTTACCATTTTTAAATACTTTGTAATTTACACGTTTTTAACATGAATAAAAAATGGGTTACTCAAACGCCACGGGGCACATACATACATATGTATGTATATCCTTTTATGTAATTTTTATTATGTATTCAAAAGACTTTTTATAAATAATATCATACATTTTATCTAGCCACTTCTGTATATAAATAATTATATCGATATCGATATCGACGATATTGGTAAGTATGTGAATTAATAATGATTTCAGGTTTGACTGGCTTTACTGAAATTCGCACAATATTTATTTCACTCTCTGACACATCTATCTGCAAGACAGTTTATCAGAAATAAAGCCAATCAAAACCTTAACAATATAACTTCCCTGCAAACCAAAGTTCCCGAACTCTTTAGGAGTATCTCATTTCTGTAACGATTTTTTTTTTAAGAATCTACAAAGAAAATTATATGAAGCGGTTGACACGAACTCGTAAAGAAATTTATGTACGAAAAATAAAGAACATTCTGAAAAATTCTGCAAGAAATTCTTCACATAGCAGCACCATTTTCATTGCTTTACCGATGTTCTTCCGAAATTTCGTAAAATAATCGAAGTGTGCACAGTTTATTTAATTTTAGAAAATTCTGCAAAAAATCTGATGAGATTTTTACGAATTCTTTAAAATTTTTCTACAATTAAGAATGCGCTGAAAAAATGGTTTGCAGGGTTATAAGTACTTCAAATATTACCAAGATCTGTATACAAAAAAAATAAAACCTATTTATTTTCATAATTGCACTTTTGTTTATATACTTTCTCTGTCACGCACACACACACAACTCTTACCCCATTGTTATTCATCATGGCTGCAGTAAAGGCTCGCAAAAATGTTGGAGTATATGCGCGAGCATAACGGAGCGAATGCATTTTTGTAGTATTTAAATAATTTAATTTTTATACGAGTATATTTTTCAATGCTAAATAAATACTGCTAAACAAAAATATGCTTTACTAAAATTAGTGAGTGTTTAACGAATGCTTTTTACACTATAAAAGCATAATATCAATTATTTTTATAATAGACCTCTGAAGGCGTCTAATGAAAATTGTGTTGTGTTGTGTCCGTTTATTTTTTGTTATTATAAAAAGATTACACAATGCTTATTGAGTACTTCGGGCGATTAGGTTTGAATTGTGTATATTATAAGTCTACTGATAAGAACGTAATATGCAATAGATAGATATGTACGTATGCGCAGCATATTGGCTGGAAATTCGAAATTGATGCCGTCAAAAATATTAAAAAAAAAAATTTTAAAAACCTGGGTTGTGCTGACTCTCTACTAGGCATTAAATGGCAACAATTTGAATGTCAAAGTTGGGCATTAAAAAATTTCGTGTCATTACGTCATAAAAAAAGTCATTAAGGCTGCGTTTCTTTATACATTCCGGATAATCCCATTTCACAGCCGGAATAAACAAAACGCGTTTGAAATATACGTTAACATATCATCAGGAACGTTCTAAAGAATAAGTAAACAAAAAAGTTTATTCCAAACGTTCAGAACGAATAAAGAAATGCAGCCTAAGTTAATTTCCCGATGGCATTTTGTAAATGGCACACATTTTTTTTGGTATTTTAAAGCTTAGTGGAAAATCGGCATTAGTTTTAAATATGTATGCAGTGGAAGTTTTTATTCAATGTTAAAGAAATATAGTTTCTGTGACAACTTAATTTAATACTGAATTTTTATAATAAAAAAGCAGCTACTGGTAATAGCGAATCCTTTATATATACTACGTTTATACGCACAGAATAATCGCCTTAATTGAAAGCGCATTGACACCGTACACATTTCGCTCTAGTGTTTATACTTACGGCTTTATATCGGCATCAAAGTAACCGTCTTCAAAAGCAAACAAAATTAGCTGTTTTCATTTGACATTTTATAAGTTAACATAGTGGAAAGCGATAAAAATCTAGTTTTATTCGGCATTATAAAATCGTGGCAAAGAAAAAGAACGATTATTATTAATCAGCTTTTAAATACTGATGCGATTATTTGGAATTTGAGCGGAACAGCTGATCTCCAATTCGCTTTGAGTGAGAGCGGTGTTTATACACTCTTTCTAACTGTCTGGAGAAATAAACTACCGATTTGAAATGGAGTGTGAGCCAAAGCACTTCGCTCTTTCAAAGCGAATTGAAATTCAGTTTATACATATGTTTTGAATCGCGGCGAAATGAATTAAAGCGACTTATGTATGCGTATAAACGTAGTAATAATAGTAACAATATTCATTCACATTTGGTGAAACGCGGTCTCGAAAAACTCGGCCTAAAGCTGCCATTTTCGCATGCGACACATTATAATTAAAGCTCATTTGGTGATAAGAAAAAAGCAACAAACAACAAAGACATTTGTATGTATGTATTTGGTATAGTTATATATGTATTACCAATCAATATACAATTGTATACTTTTTAAAACGGCAAAAATATACAATTAAATTTGTGTGTATGTGCAGTACTTTGCTGGTCTCTTGCTATTTAATGTTGCTCTCCCGCAAACATTTAGCCGAGCACGCACAAAATTTTGAGCGGGCATAATATACAGTAGCTCAAAGTGAAACCCGTACAGCGAAGGAAAAATTATATCGAATAAACCAACTAAAATTGTGCATATGTACATATGTATGTATGTACATCAGTAAAATAGCATAATTTGCAATTTCTTCGTAAGCCATCGCTTTTTTTATTTGTTTAAAATTTTTCCAACTAGCCGTTGGTAATTATATTGTTAAATAAAACATAAACGAGTTTCGTACTAATATTTTAGAAAAAAGGAGCATACATTTAATTGTACAAAAGGCACATTTTAAGATATTTGTGTATTCTAGTAAAAATTTAAGTTCATTTAAATATGAAGTGGAGTCGCCGTTATTGTTCGCGTTTAGTTTCAGTCGAAAATGCATTGAATT